AAGAAGACCTGAATAAAATTATATCAACTACGTAGGATTCTTTGAGGTTTCCAAAGAAGATGTACCAATTTACATTCCCATGAGAGGTATATGAGAGTTTTGGATGGAATTTTTTTTTCTCTCTCTCTGTAGATTAGTTTTTCCCTCTACTAATAGTTTCTCTTGATAAACAGAAGTTCTTAAGTGAAAATCATTCCATGTTTCTCCTGTTTAAGTTAGTGTTTTGTATTTTGGTGTCCACTTTAGGAAATCCTTGCTTACTTCAAAATGATCATGTTTTCTTATATTTCCTTCTAAAATCTTTATATTTTCCACTTTTCACACTTAGACTCACAATTGAACTGGAATTAATTCTTTGCAGGTGATATGAGGAAGAGGTCAAGTTTTATTTTTCCAAATGATTATTCAATTTACCCAATACTATTTGTTAAGTGGTAATAGTTTCGTCATCACCCTGTAATACCACTTTTGTCATAAGTCAGTCATTATACATGTGTGGCCTTTTTTCTCGGATCTCTATTCTGTTACATTGGTCTGTTCTGTCAGTTCTTGCACTGATAATACACTGTCTTACTACAGTTTCATCCTCATTCTTAATATCTGGTAGAATAATTTCTCAAGCTTTGTTCCTTTTTATCAAGTGTTCTTGAGCACTCTTGACACTTTTTTTTCATATACATTTTAAAATCAGCTTGCCAAATTATTCAAGAAAAAGATAACAACTGCTGGGATTTTTGTTTTTGTTTTTGTTTGTTTCCAACTGACTTAAGTGCATCACAGAACAAAGGTAAAAATATTAATAGAAATATAAAAATATCTACCACCCAAAAATATAAAATACAAAATATCTAGCATCAATAAAAAATTACAGACCTGCAAAGAAGCATGAAAAAAGGATCCATAACAAAGAGAAGGATTAATTAATAGGAACCAACTCAGAAATGACAAACTGGCAGACAAAGAAAGTCAAACAGTTATTGTAACTCTGGTCTGTAAGTTCAAAGTTTTGTAGAGATGGGGAAAGGCATAATGAGGTCCAAACAAAGCTTCTAGAGATAAAAATTACAATGTCTGTTATGAAAAATATACCGGATGAAGTTAACATCAGATTAGACATTACAGGATAAAATATTAATAAACTTGAAGAAATAACATAAACAATTCTTAGTGAAATACGGAGAATAAGAGGAGGTCATCAGTAAACTGAGGGACAACTTTAAGTAGCTTAATATGTAATTAGAGTCCCAAAAGCAAATTTTTAAACTTAAATTTCTTTAAAGGATAATTAGCTATTTACACTGAAATAATTCCAACACAGTGCAGGGATTCTAATATATGCAAAAGTAAATCTATAACAAGACTAGCATAAAGACAGGTGAGGAATAAATGAACACATGTATCATTGGAAGGTTTCCATAATCTGAGTGAAGTCACTTGACGGTAGACTGTGTTAAAGTAGAGATGCATACTGAAAATCATAGAGCAACCACTAAGATGACAAAACACAGCCAACACAATACAGAGTTATAAAAATGCTCAAATAATCCATAAAACAACATAAAAAGATAAAAGGAATATAGAAGCGATGGGATTGATAGAAAACAAATAGAAGATGATAGACACAAAAGTAACCACATCAACAATCACATCAAATCTAAATAATTTAAAAGCACAGATTGTACTATTGAGTATTATTAAATAATATCAAAAAACAACTATATGTTGCTTATCAGAATACTATGAAGACTCAGAATGTAAAAAAATAAAACAAAAGTATGGAAAAAGATGTACTATGCCAACACCAATTAAAGGAAAGCTAGAGTAGTTATGTTAATATCAAACAAAATAAATTTCAGGCAGAGAATATCTGAGATAATGAAAGTCATATCCTAATGACAAAAGTATTGGTCTATCAAGAGGTCTTAACAATCAAATACTTATGTACCTGAAAATGGATCTTCAAGATACCAAGGCAAAAACAGAACTGCCAGGAGAATTAGACAAATCCACAATTACAATCAGAGATTTCAATACCCCTCTTTTAGTAACTGGTTTAATGAGTCGACAAAAACAAAGACGAGTAAGGATACAGAGGATATGAACTACACCAACAACCCAGTTGACTTGACGTTTACAGAACACTTCATCCAATAGCAGCAGAATACATGTTCTCTTGGAGAGCGCACTGACTGTGTGCCAGCATGCACTATGTACTCTGGGCCATAAAACAAGCATCCGTGCATTAAAAGTATTCAAGTCAAACCAAGTGTGCTTGCTGGTCACAGTGAAACTTCATTAGAAATCAATAAGAGAAAGATTTCTGGAAAAGTCCTAAATATTTCAAAATTAGATAATAGTTTTCTAAATAACTTATAAGGCAAAGAATAAATCAAAAGATAAAAGATAATTTACAATTATTTTAATAGTATCTTTTGGTCATTTTTTTTTCTTTTTGACCAAATACTGGTGAGAATGAAGATAAATGGATAAATGAGACTTTTTTTTTTTTTTTTTGAGACAGAGTCTCACTCTGTCACTGAGGCTGGAGTGCAGTGGCACAGTGTTGGCTCACTGTAACCTCTGTCTCCTGGGTTCGAGCAATTATCCTGCCTTAGCCTCCTGAGTAGCTAGGATTACAGGCGCCCACCACCACACCTGGTTAGTTTTTATATTTTTAGCAGTGATGGGGTTTCATCATGTTGGGCAGGCTGGTCTCGAACTCCTGACCTCAGGTGATCCACCTGCCTCGACCTCCCAAAGTGCTGAGATTACAGGTGTGAGCCACCGTGGCTGGCCCAGCCCTTTCTTTTTTGGGGGGAGAGTAAATTGTAAAATCCTTTTTGTCTAGTAATTTAGCAACAAACATCAAAAGAGTAAAAATTGCTAACAGTCCTTGACTCAGAGTGTTTTTTGTTTAATGAATTTATTTTAAGGAAATTGATATATATGCATAAAATGTTTGAGAATGTTCAAAAGAATTATTTTAAACTGAACAAATATAAAAATATATCAAAGTTGGTAGGATGCTGCCAAAGCAGGACTGAGAGGAAAACTGAAGGACAGGGGATAATTTTCTATTCATTCTCAGGCCAGAACTACCCTGATACCAAAATGAGACTAAAAGATTCCAAGCAAGCTACTATTATCTCTCAGGAACACAGATTCAATGATCCTTTTACAATTACAGCCTAGAGAATCCAACAACACGTAAGAGGGATAGTACAACACGGTCAAGTAGGGTTTATCTCAGTAACGCAGTGTTGGTCTGACATTTCAAAAAACAGACTATGTCATTTACCTTATCTGTACTAAAAATATGAAAACTATATGCTATCTATAGATAAACACTTGATAAAATTCAACATCCTTTCTTGATGAAAACTGTTATCAAAGTAATAAGAAATTTTCTTCCCCTAAAAAAGGACATTTATGACATCCCGTGGTTAAACAGGAGAATATTTTTGCAAGCAAACTGTGATAAGTCAAAGATGCATATTGTAATTCCCAGATCAAATACTAAAAACAGCAAAAAGAGGATAAAATAGTCTTTTTAGCAAATAGTTCTAGAAAAATGTCATAATATGGAAAAATAATGAATCTCTAGCCTTATCGCACTCCATAAACCAGATGTGGGCAAACTATGGCCTCGGGGCCAAACTTGGCCTCTGTCTGTTTTCATACACCTCAGAAACTAACAATAATTTTACATTTTTAAAAGATTTTAAAAAAGCAAAAATTAAAGAAGTAAAAACGTTAAAAACGTAAAAATTGTTACATATAAAAATATAAGATATTCAAATTTCAGTAAACATAAATGAAGTTCTGTTGGATCATGGCCACAGTCATTCGTGTATATATTGTCAATGGTTGCTCTTGCACTACAATGGCAGAGTTGAGTAGTCGACACAAATACTGCATGATGCACAAAACTAAAAAATTTATTATCTCACCCTTTACAGGACAACTGCTGACCCTTCCCATAAACAAAAATTAGTAAGAGACACAAAAAAATCCCAGATAATCAAAAAACTAGAACCCGCAAACTTCTGGAAGAAAACAGCAAGCTCTCTTCATGATCATGGGGTAGGCAAAGATTTCTTAAGGACAAAAGAATGTTCTAACCATAAAAAAAAGCAAATTGTTCTTTATGCAAATCCCAAAAAGTTCTTCAAAATATATTAAGAAAAAATAAACGTAATCTGAGAAAGGGCTGGATTCATGTTATAAAGAATTCCTACACATCAATCATAAAAAAGATAATTCACTAAAAACAAAAAATTGACTAGAGTATTAAAAAAGTAAAAGATATAAAAGCAAGCAGTTTCTTTTCATGAGACTAATGTGCTTATTTCTCCAGCTTAGGTGGTTGTTTCACTGATAGCATGTCACTGTCAGCTGCCTCCAGGAATCACCTTTGGTTGAAGGGAATGCTTTGCCCAGGTCTCACCCCATTCCTATGGCAGCTGGCATCTAATGACTGGCTGATATCTCCTTTCCTACACCATCATTTGATGAAATTTAAAATTTAAATTTAAATGTAAAAGTTTTGGTTCTTGTTTAGAAAAACGTTTGCTTTTCCCTCACTACCCTGTGCAAAAGATGAGTTTGAGGCAGGTAAACCTGAAATCAGCAAGAGCTGGAAGCACCCAGCCTCCCTAGTCAGGGTCCTTAGCGCTTCATCATAGTGACTACACACTGGCCACTTGAGGGCACTGTGGATCCACTGAGTGGGCCACTCATAGTGCTGTCTGGGAGAGAGAGGGTTAAGGCAGACCGTCTTGATTTCGTCTCTGTATCAGGGATATTACTAGATGAACCGGAGGTAGTGCTGGCACAGGAAGAGTTAATCATAGCCTTATCAGATCAACCGATATGCATGTGTATTTGTCATGACAGGAAGCCATGAACTGCAGCCTTATGTGACCTCTCTAGGTGCCTAAGTTTGACAGGGAGTGTGGGGAGGGTTTCAGCAGGGCAGCCTGGATAACCCAAGCCAGGCAGAGACAAAGGAGCATCGGCCTCAGATGAAAATCTCAGAAGCTGTAGGGATGGCTGTCTGCCCGGAAGCCTGCCCCCGACCCCTTGCTCAGCACAGCTAGCTTCCCCTGCCCTGCAGGAAGCTGGACAGGATGGGGGAAAGCCTGAGTTAGCTGAGTTAGTCCTGGAGTACAGGGTGCCTATGGGAGCCTACAGGACGATGACATCAGAACAGTGACATCACAATGAAAACCTCCAAAAACGGTGAGGAGGAGCAAAAGCCCTGCTTTCTCACCCCAGGAAACGGGCACCCTGAGAAGGGAGATGCTTGGTCCTGACCTGCCTGACTCTGCCTGGAACACCAGGCTCCTCTGCCATGTCATGCTTTGTCTCCTGGGGACAGGTGAGTCCTGAATACAGGTGGGACATCCCCGCATCCATAGCCTTCAACTGTTGCTGAAGTATCAAACTCTCCCGAGCTGAGTCTTCAGCTTCTGTCTCCTTCCTCCACAGGTTCAGTGGCTGCTGGAGTCACCCAGGCCCCAAGGCACCTGATCAAAGAAAAGAGGGAAACAGCTACTCTGCAATGCTATCCTATCCCTGAACACGACACTGTCTACTGGTACCAGCAGGGCCCAGGGCAGGGCCCCCAGTTCCTCATTTCATTTTATGAAAAGATGCAGAGAGATAAAGGAAGCATCCCCGATCGATTCTCAGCTCAACAGTTCAGTGACTATCATTCTGAACTGAACATGAGCTCCTTGGAGCTGGGGGACTCAGCCGTGTACCTCTGTGCCAGCAGCTTAGGCACAGCCCTGCAGAATTACTGGCTTTCTGTACCCAAACCCCCCTGTCTCAGTTGGGGATGTAACAGAGAGAAGGAGGTGGGGGCTGCCACACAGCTTTAGCCAAGCCCCAGAGATGCTTCTAGTTCTTTTCTAACGTTTTCCCCCATCCTGCTGAGCTCAGTGAGAACTCCTGCACTTGTGGGCTCCGGACCCACTGGAAGTTCTCACATCTTAGCCAGTACTTTTTAATTCCTAGCAAGTGGTGGGAGCTCCTACTCTGTGCCAACATATGGGCATGTGTTTTAATGTGTTTTCTGTTGCCATACAGAATACCTGAGACTGGGTATTTTATACATAAATGAAATTTGCTTCTTATAGGTCTGGAGGCTGGGAAGTCCAGGGTCAAGGACCCACATCTGGTGAGGATCTTCTTGCTGGTGAGGACTCTGCAGAGTCCTCAGGTGGCACAGGATATCACATATGAGGGGGCTCATGAAAGATGGCCAAACTGGCTTTTATAACAGACTCACTCTCATGATAACCTACCCATTCCCTCTATAACCCATTAATCCATGAATGGATTAACCTTCACGAGGGCAGAGTCCTTAAGACCTAGTCACCTCCCAAAGGTCCTACCTCTCAATGCTGCTGCATTGGGAACCAAGTTTTCAATATATAAATTATTTAGGAACACAGTCAAATCATAGCAGTGCACATTGTGTTTTTTTCTTCTTTTTTGAGACAGGGTCTCACGCTGTCACCCAGACTGGAGTGCAGTGGTGTGATCATGGCTCATTGCAACCTTGAGCTCCTGGGTTCAAGCAATCCTCCTGCCTCAGCTGCTTGAGTAGCTATGACTACAGGGAAACATCACCTTGTAGTGATGTGTCCCCTTGCCTGGCTATTTTTTTTTTTATTTTTATTTTTTGTAGAGATGAGGCCTTGTCATGTTGTCCAGATTAGTCTCAAACTCCTCAAATGATCCTCCTGACTTTATGTGTTTTAATGCAAAGATAGACATTAGTATATCCACTTTAAAAATGAAGAAGATTTCAGTGTACTATTTTATAGATACAGAGCTGTGCCTCATGAACTTCTCCAGTATTTCGTATTTCTAAGGATCAAAGCCAGGATCCAAACCTACGACTCCATGCCTCCAAAATAAAACTTCTAAAATTCTATAGTGTTTCCTGGGCCTTGGTCAAGAAGCTACAGCAAAGCACTATTCTTCCATCTCAAGACTAGCCAAGCAGTAGAAGAGGGTCACATATTATGGAATGTGGTTACTATGGCTTATGGCCTGCCAACCTCCAGGACATATAACTTCTGGCCAGAGAATATTTGTCCTGTCTTAGTTCCATATAGAATGGGGCCACAATATGTCCTAATATAGACGTATAGGGACAAGGGGCATTTCTAATACATCAGAGGGTTCAGTCAAGGAAATAGAATCCTCTAGGAATTCCAAGGAGAATAGGAGTTAATACAGGGAATTAGTGGTTATAAACCACTGGAAGGCTGAGAAGTGGGAGGTTCTCAGAAGGCTGAAGCTTGCCCTCAGGTCCACCACTAGTGATCAGAAAGGCTGAAGTTGCTACTTTTGCCCAGGTCAGGGACTACTGGAAATAGCTGAGAGTCACAGTGGTCTTGCAGTGACCAAGAGGGGGATTCACAAGAAAGTATCTAGAGGTCGTTGCAAATCCACCTGTCTGTTGCTGTCAGATAAAAGTCTTTATTCTGAGGAATCGCCATACTGTTTTCCATAATGGTTGAACTAGTTTACAAGGATCTAGAACTAGAAGTACCATATGACCCAGCCATCCCGTTACTGGGGATATACCCAAAGGATTATAAATCATGCTGCTCTAAAGACACATGCACACGTATGTTTATTGCGGCACTATTCACAATAGCAAAGACTTGGAATCAACCCAAATGTCCATCAGTGACAGACTGGATAAAGAAAATGTGGCACATATATACCATGGAATACTATGCAGCCATAAAAAAGGATGAGTTTGTGTCCTTTGTAGGGACATGGATGCAGCTGGAAACCATCATTCTCAGCAAACTATCACAAGAACAGAAAACCAAACACCGCATGTTCTCACTCATAGGTGGGAACTGAACAATGAGATCACTTGGACTCGGGAAGGGGAACATCACACACTGGGGCCTATCACGGGGAGTGGGGAGGGGGGAGGGATTGCATTGGGAGTTATACCTGATGTAAATGACGAGTTGATGGGTGCTGACGAGTTGATGGGTGCAGCACGCCAACATGGCACAAGTATACATATGTAACAAACCTGCATGTTATCCACATGTACCCTAGAACTTAAAGTATAATAAAAAAATAAAAATAAATAAAAAAAATTTAAAAAAGTCTTTATTCTGCTTCCAACTTTTCCACAAGTATAACTTATTGGGGGAAGCAAAATTGTTTTCAGAAACTTGCTGTCAGGAGAATCTGGGACATGTATTTTCAAGTCTTCTAGCTCTTACAATGAGAGAGAGAGAGAGAGATTGTTGGAGGACATTTAAGGGTACTCAGTGCCAATAGACAAGCATCAGCACACCCAGCTATGCAGCAGAGAAATGGAAAGCGGGAGAATAAATTTTATATTTTCTGTCAACTTGTCCATGAAAATTTATTACATGTATATATATAGTTTTGCTGTTGTCATTTAGTTGTTGTTCACTTGTTAATTTATTCAGTAGATATTCCTGGAATACCTATTATGTTAAAAATTTCCTTGGAATACAGAAAATGAGATGTAATTTTTCAAATTATACATTTTGTCTTTAAGAAGTCTAAAGTCTGGCAAGATAATATATTCCTAATTATTCATACATGCATTTACAACGTATGAGAGTCATTTGAATCAGTCAGTTTTCTGGCGTGAAACAGATGACACATTCAAAAAGGCTGAAGTGAAAACAATTTAATCAAAGGACTGTGTTTAGAGGGATAAACAGACTTAGGGACACAAGGAGTGTTCGAGGGACCAGGGGTTTCCAGCACACTGAGAAGCCAGTACAACTCCTGGGCCTATGGAGAAAGGGGTGGGAGGGAAATGCTGTGTTCCTGGAGGTGCATGCAAGTAATGAGAAAAGTTTTCCAAAGGGAGGAACTCAGGACCAGAAGCTAGGAAGGGGAAGCCCAGATATTCTGAACTCTCTCTTCACTACCCTTCACTGTCCAGCTGGTGTCTGCCATTGGAAAGCCCAGCCAAAACCTTGGATAGCACCTTTTGCTGAAATCAGTCTCCAAGGGCACAGCCCAGGGCAGTACAGGGCAGGGAGGCGAGAGTGGGTTGTGGGGAGCGTTGGGTGCACATGTACAACAACCAGCACAGCAGCTACCAAGTGTATGATGTGCCATTTGCAGATGCATATGCAAGTACACAGTGGACAGAGACCAACTTAATTCTACCTCTTTTATGTGAACTTACAGAAAATTCCCTTGTTGATTGCTAATAACAAGCAATATTGTTAATCCCATTTTCTCTGGGCCATCATATACGAAGTACATTATTTCAATTAATTTCTTAAGAACTTCATAAGGGAGAACAATTCACTCCCATATTACAGGTAAAAAACTGTTAGAGAATTTAGATAATTTTCTAAAGGAGGTACAGCTAACAAATGTTGAACTTGGACTCACACCTAGGCCATACTAACTTTCAACCTATGCTTGAAGTTACTCCACCCTATACATTTTGGTAGAGGAAGATACCTTCAACATTGGAAACATTGACCCAAATGTCCCTTTTAGAAACAATGCATCTGACACAAATCATTTGAATAACATCTTTCACGTGGGAGGCTACATGCTAAAGAGGAAGGTCCTTGGAGATGAGGAGACCTCAGTGGTTCATATTCTGATTCCTTGGGTCAGTGACTTGAAAAACATTTAGCTAAGTTTTGTCACTTGTAAACTGAGGCCAGTAATATATGTCTTACAGAAATTTTAAACTTGTAAACAAGACAAAGTCTAATACATAGTATAGGCTCAATAAATCTTAGGTCCCTGTGAATTTTCTGACAAATCTCTAGTCGAGCAGTTATTTACTTTGTGCAATCTGGTAACAAAGGCAGACACGAATTACTTTTGTCTGATTCACCTATGATTCAGACACAAAGTCATCTAAAATGCCGATATAGTAGTCTGATCATTCACTGGTAAAAGTAACATAAACAGTTGTGCCTTAAGAGAAAGTGAAAAATGTTGCATCTTACAGCATTTCCTGCTTGATACTGAGTCTGATATGCAAGGTGTGATGCTCCCAGAAAGGTGTGAATTCAGAGCAATCCTGACGGATTCCATCTCCTGTTGCTCCAGCACAAACTCAATATTGTACCTTTATCCTGGTTTCCTCTCTCCCTATTTCATTCTCCCATCTCTCTTATTCCTAATTCCTGAGATCCTTTCCAAAGCAAACTACTTTCACCAAAGCCCACGTCTCAAACTTTGCCTTCGGGGTTAGCTTAAAACTTTGACAGTGATAGAATGGGATGACCCTCTAAGACACTTCTCTTTGAAAAAGGCCATGGTTTCCTTTTAGTTATACTGCCATGCATTCATTCACAAGTCTTATAATGATATGTGAACTATCTCTTCCAAGTTCATTTTGACTCATTCTGAGTTTTCAACAGACTCACATGGGTCTCTGCTCAGTTAAGGCTCTGAGCTTATTTGTAACTGAATAGACTACGTTTATGTTTCACAGCTTCAGGGTCTGCCTGGACTCAGAGAACCATTCATTTCTTTCTTCAGTCATTCAACAAAAACTTAACGAGCGTATGTGTAGAGTAGATCCAAGTTTTGTGGAGCAGGAGGCTTATAAAATTTTAGGGATCACTTTGAAAAAGAGAATACAAAATGACAGTGTCTTGAAAAAATTCTGTGCAAGGCCAGGCACAGTGGCTCATGCCTGTAATCCCAGCATTTTTGGAGGCCGAGGTGGGTGGATCATTTGAAGTCAGGCATTCAAAATCAGCCTAGCCAATATGGTAAAACCCTGTCTCTACTAAAAATACAAAAATTAGCCAGGCATGGTGGTGGGCACCTGTACTCCCAGCTACTTGGGAGACTGAGGCAGGAGAACCACTTGAGCCCAGGAAGCGGAGGTTGCAGTGAACAGAGATCACACCATTGTACTCCAGCCTGGGTAACAGAGTGAGATTCTGTCTCAAATTCAAAAAAATAAATAAATTCTGTGCAAGTGAGAAGGCCTACAGTTATTCTTCATTGACTTCATGGCAAATCCACTGCTAGCTAGTTACCGTGTGTAGGCACCATGTAAATGCTTGAGAAACATTAGCACAAAAAACAGACAAAGCTGCAAAATAAGGTGTATGTTTTCAACAAAAGAAAATTTGTAAATCAATAATGATCAAGAAATAAAAATGTAAATACAAGGAAAATACTCCTGGTAGATGTTTATCTCCCCAGAGAAGTCAGAGTATTGTTGAGAATTCTATTGGTGGATCACACCTTATTTATTGATGGATCACACCTTATTTTGATAACAATTCTCAGAGCTCTTGGATTCCATGTGCCCTCCCCTAAAGAATCTGAGCCCTGAGATGGAAAACTCTCCTTTCCTGTCCTGACTCAACCATGGGCAATGATCTCTTTTTCTGTGTGCCTTTTGGTATCCCAGGGCCAGGGGAGTTCTGGGCATAGATGAGAAAGCTCTTCCTGGGATTGCCAGGCCCCAGCCACAGCTTCTCCATGGGGGTGTTCATGGGTCTCCTCCCTGTCTCCACTTCAGATTCTGTATCCATTCTCACTGGAGCATGAGTGTAGGAATTAGCCACCCAGGTTATATCAAGATGTGCAGTCACAAAAAGGGAGCCTCACACTGAGATGCAACCTGTATCTGAAATAACAATAGTACCACTATTGACTGGATGTAAATTTTGCACCACAGCACATTTATGGTTCAATCAGTATCCTCCCATTTGTGGGTATAAGACCTTCTGAATGGACACAGGGCATTTCCCTGTTACCCTAAAGGCACCAGACTAGTGTACTTGTGGGCAAATATCTCATATGATTCCCTAATGAGCTTCCTCTTATTTTTACACAAAAGAAAAAAAGGAGAGTGGGTTTTCCCCACATAGTCCATCAACTCACAAGCCAATCTCCTGCAGAAATACCCTCACAGATAGACCAAGAAATGCTGCTCTACCAGCTACCTAGGTAGGCCCTAGCCTGGTCAGGTTGACACCTAAAATTAACCATCACAAAACTCATGAGAACACAGAGGTCTGAGTTGTGATGATGAGATTCCTATTAGGTGACGGAGACTCAGGTGGCCTCCCCTAAAACAAAAGGAGAAGTCATATCTGTATTAGTCATACATATGTATATATGTACATACATCTATGTATTCTATTGGTTCTGTTTCTCTCTGAGGAGGAGGTGACCTAGATTATTCCTTTTCTGGATAAAGGATGGAAGCAGTGTGGATCATCACTTAGTGTGTTCTGATAGCCATGTGTCACTATGTACTTTTTCTTTGCATCTTCACATCTCTTCCTGTTGTATTTTAAAGCATTTTCATGGTATGTGGTGTTGCCTAGTAAAGCATTCTCATAGCAAAAAAAAAAAAAAAAAGTACATATGTATACATATGCATATATATATTCTATTGGTTCTGTTTCTCTGGAGAAACTATATATATACACACACACACACACACTCATACACACACACTCTATATGTATACAGAGAGACAGAGAGAGAAAGAGAGAAGAAGAGAGGAGAGGAGGAGAGAGGAGAAGAGAAGAGAAGAGAAGAGAAGAGAAGAGAAGAGAAGAGAAGAATCTGTTAGGGAAATTGGCTCACGTGATTATGAAGGCTGAAAAGTTCCCCAGTATGCCAGCCATCTGCAAGCTGAAGATGAAGCAATGCCAGTAGCATGACTCAGTCCAAGTTTGAAGGCCTCAGAACCAGAGAAGCCAATGTTGTGTCTCTCAGCCCGAGACCAAAAACCTGACAACCCAGGGGATTGCTGGTGGAAGTCCCAGAGTCCAAAGGTAGGAGAATCTGGAGTTCTGATATCCAAGGGCAGTGGAAGACACATGTCTCATCTCTGAGAGACAATGCAAATTCATCCTTCCTGTGTCTTTTTGTTTTATCCAGGCCCCCAGCTGACTGGATATTGCCCATGCACATTGAGAGTAGATCTTCCCCACACAGTTCATCAATTTACAAGCCAATTTCCTCCAGAAATACCCTCGCAGACATACCAAGAAACACTGCTGTACCAGTATCCAGGTATGCCTTCATCTGGTCAGATTAACACCTAAAATTAACCATCACACTACCAACGGGAACACACAGAGGTCTGAGCTCTGATGATGAGACTCCTGTGAGGTGAACTAATGTGACAGAGCATAAAACAATATACAAATTATATGCACCCTAACCTTCAGACTTTTTGAAACCTTCCCAGATGTCAGGTGGCTCTTTTAACAGAGGCCATTCCTGTAGGCTGACATCCAGTTATCCAGAGTTTGAGAAAAGATAAAATCGAATAAAAGGAACTTAGAGGTAAATTTGAGGAGATGAGTTCTAAAGGACACCAGACTGCCATGAGAATGTCCCTTAGACTACATAAATATTAGAAACAATTAAAACAGCATAAAAATGAAGAATTGTATCCTAATGGGAACAAAATATGCAGAGAGGAAATGCATTTTCTTTCTAAAATCCTGCAAAGAGCATATGCACTTCTGTCTTTAAAAGTAGTCTACAGATTATTCCCATTCTGAGCTATTAATTGTATATATGTCCTATAAAATATTGCTGTACATATCATAAATTACATATATATATATACTTGATTTATTTTTGTGGAGAATGGAAGGGGTGTGGCAGGTTAACTTTGCAGCTCAACTATTTGTCAGGGGCACTGATGTCATCGAGTCACTGAGAACCTAAGTTCTATTTCCCCAAGCAGGGCTGGGAGACACGAGATCCTGGCCTGGACCTGAAATGGGCACAAGGTTCTTCTTCTCTGTGGCCCTTTGTCTCCTGTGGACAGGTGAGGGCTGGTCACAGGTGGGCTTCCTTCCCTGGAATTCCCAAGGCCTCAATAAAAGCCTTTTTCTTGGGATTACAGCATCAGGGTCTATTGTTTTCTATTACAGGACACATGGATGCTGGAATCACCCAGAGCCCAAGACACAAGATCACAGAGACAGGAACACCAGTGACTCTGAGATGTCATCAGACTGAGAACCACCGCTATATGTACTGGTATCGACAAGACCTGGGGCGTGGGCTGAGGCTGATCCATTACTCATATGGTGTTGAAGACACTGACAAAGTAGAAGTCTCAGATGGCTACAGTGTCTCTAGATCAAAGACAGAGGATTTCCTCCTCACTCTGGAGTCCGCTACCCGCTCCCAGACATCTGTGTACTTTTGTGCCAGCAGTGAATCCACAGTGCTGCATGGCTGCCTCCTCTCTGCACGTAAAGGGCAGTTAGACTGAGGTTACTCTGTGTCTGTCCCCACCCTGGACTGTCCAGGCCTCCACAGGAGTCAGAGAGCCCTGGCCAGCCTGGAGGCCATAGAGCAGGGGCCTTAGGAGCCTCAGTGCTGACGTGCATTCCTACCCCAGTCTCAAACCAACTGGAGGTCACCCCAACACCCTTAGCTTGCCTAGTCTCTCTTCTGCAGCTCTTGTTTTTCTGCTTTTAGAAAGGAAAAGGCATCACTAGTTGAGATTAGTGATAATTCTCTTAACCCCGAAGCCTGGACTTCTTCTCTCACCTGTGGGCTTCAGTGACTTCTTCATCTGCCCCTTTCCCCATCCTCCACTATCCCTTCCACGCACAGTCACGAACCTTCACTCCCGACCTCTGTTCCTGGCTGCCTTTCCTCTATGGGGCAATAGCCTCATGGGGCCCTCTCTCATTTGCCCTTCACCTACATCTCCATCATCATTATGTACAAGTCTGCCCTGGTTCTCTCTGCTCCAGCCACACTCCTCTATGTTCCGTTATTTCCTCATATGTGTTATGTTATTTCGATGTGTTTTTACAGATTACTTTTTTTGCACTGAGCATATGTTCCTCCCTGTTATCCCCAAGTCTCTACTTCATTCCTCACATGAGAGTAGCTTTCAGGTACATTTACTCTTAACTATAAGCAGAAAAACTTACATTTTACTAGAAGAAATTAAGGAAAATATTTTTATCCTCTGAGGGAAGACTTTTTTAGTGGAAATACAAAAGAACACAAGCCATAAAAAATAATACTGACTGGGCGTGGTGGCTCATGCCTTTAATCCCAGCACTTCGGGAGGCCGAGGCAGTGTATCACTTGAGCCCAAGCATTCGAGGCCGGCTTGGGCAACATGGCAAAACCTCATCTCTACTAAAAACACAAAAATTAACCTGGCGAGTGGGCAGGCGCCTGTACTCCCAACTACTCTGGAAGGTGAGAAATGAGAATCACTTGAACCTGGGAGGTGGAGGTGGCAGTGAGCCGAGATGGCAGCACAGCACTCCAGCCTGGGCGACAGAGTGAAACTCCATCTCAAAACAACGACAACAACAACAAAAATAAAAACCTAACATTAGCTGTATTAATCATGTATCAAAACACATGATAAAAAACAAAAAGTCAAGCCACAGCCTGGGAAAGACATGAGGAATGCATGCAAATGAAGAACAATCAGCGTGACAAAGACCCTTTATGCTCACAAAAGTGCCTTGGCTCCCCTTTGCCTCCAGGCTCTAGTTGTAGTTAAAGGGCTGGGAACATATGAAGAGATTCTGAATAACTGGATGTGTGCAGAACTGATGCGGGCAATCCCAAGGCGCCAGCCCTTAGTAATAACTTGCGGCGGCCACGTGCGGTGGCTCACGCCTGTAATCCCAGCACTTTGGGAGGCCGAGATGGGTGGATCACAAAGTCAGGAGATGGAGAACATCCTAGCCAACATGGTGAAATCCCATCTCTACTAAAAATACAAAAATTAGCTGGATGTGGTGGCGGGCGCCTGTAGTCCCAGTTACTCAGGAGGCTGAGGCAGGAGAATCACTTGAACCCTGGAGGTGGAGATTGTAGTGAGCCAAGATTGTGCCACTGCACTCCAGCCTGGTGACAGTGTGAGATTCCGTCTCAAAAAAAAAAAAAAAAAGAAAGAAAGAAAAGAAGAGAAAAAAGAAATAACTTGTGGCACTGTGAAGGGAGTCCTCAAGTAGACACAGAAATTAGCTGCAAAGACTCACGGGATATAGCATACAATTGCACTTACCGTTGAGATTTATTCAGTGTCATAGTAAATATTCAGCAGTGGATCACATGAAGAAAACACACAGAAGGAATCTAGAGGAGTTCACACATTGACTTCCTTATGCTCTCTTCCTCCCAGGAGGGGTCACACAGATCTCACTTCTCCCAGCAACAAAAATGCATTAACACGTGTGCAATGTTTCTGCCTGTGGAGCTCATCAGAGACTCAACACCCCAGAGGCTTCAGTGGAGGCCGGACATGAAGGCACTCACTGCCTAGTATGAACCCAAAATCCACAGCCCAGAAGGAAATCTGGTGTTCAGCACAATACTGTTTGCGATATCAGTCTAGGCACAATGAGCTACTCCTCTCAGTTAAGAGAAACTTCATGTCAGTGCAGGGCACTGCTCACCAGACAGCTTCCCAGATGCCAGCCAAATGCCAGTCTTGCAAGCGGAACTTTCTAAGCGCCGCAGTGTCAAGCCTGCTGTTGACTGTTTTCTGTACAGATACCCTTCAACTCTTTTGCCATGCCCTAATAAACTTGGGAGCTACGCGATACAGATTGACTAACGATAATACGGAAGCAGCCTGGCTCACTGGGTCGTAATTTGGTGAAGAGCCATGGAAGAAAGCCACTTAGGTCCTGCTGGGCTTTGTGGACATGGGAAGTAAGACTTCATAGAATTAAGCCAATGAAATTTTAAGATTTATTCTTATTTTGTTTTCTGTAGCATAGCTTTTCTTATCTAATAGAGTTAGTATCTAAAATGAGTAAAGCATTCTCATAACTTACTAAGAAAAAGACAACCCAATAAAATGGCAATACTTAGTCTAAATAGGCATTTCACAGAAAAGTAAACATAAATTACCACTAACATAAAAATAGGTTCTTGGGCCAGGTGCAGTGGTTGATTCCTGTAATCCCAGCACTTTGGGAGGCCGAGGTGGACAGATCACTTGAGGTCAGGGGTTTGAGACAAGCCTGGCCAACATGGCGAGACCTTGTCTCTATAAAAAGTACAAAAAATTAGTCGGGCATGGTGGGATGTGCCTGTGGTCCCAGCAGCTACTAGGGAGGCTGAGGCACAAGAATTGCTTGAACCTGGGAGGCGGAGGTTGTGGTGAGCCAAGATCACCCCACACACTCCAGACAGGGTGACAGAGCAAGACTTCGTCTTAAAAAAAAAAAAAAAAGAATAGGTTCTTAACCTCACTTAGAATCACAGTATTCCAATCTGAAACAGTAAATTATGAATGCAAACTTACCAGACTGGAAAGTTTTCAAAGAAATGATAGTCCCAAATATGAGAAAAGATATGACTAGTGGAACTGTATTATACTACAGAAGAAAATTATAACTGATATGGTTTGGTTCTGTGTCACCACCCTCATCTCAAATTGTAATCCCCATGTGTCAAGGGAGAGTCCTGGTGGGATGTGATTGGATCATGGGGGCGGTTTCCCCCATGCTGTTCTCCTAATAGTGAGTGAATTCTCACAGGGCCTGATGGTTTATAAATGACAGTTTTCTTTTCTCTTTCTCTGTCCTGCTGCCATGTGAGATGTGCCTTGCTTCCCTTCTCCTTCTGCCATGATTGTAAGTTTCCTGAGGCCTTCTCAGCCATGTGAACTGTGAGTCAAATAAATCTCTTTCCTTTATAAATTAAATTACCCAGTCCTGGGTATTTCTTCATAGCAGTGTGAAAACAGACTAATACAATAACTATATCAGAAAACCCTTTCTGAGATATATTCTGACAAGCAACATTTTGAAATAAATTAGCAAGATACTTGATCCTCTGTATTAGCTGATTTGGAATCCAAGGATAGGAAAGGTTGACTGTGAGGAAGGCGGGCACCCTCAGATTAGGGTATCAGCAGGGTTTCCTGGAACCAGTCCCCTCAGGATACTAAGAGATGACTGTATGTTTAAATTACTTGAGTTCCTTTCATTATCTTTAGGGTCCTTCATGGAGAATTGAGTTGTCAATATTTATTTTAGCCATTTTGAAGGTTTTAATCAACATTTAAAAATTAACATTTAAAAACTGTGGTTATAAATATATGTATAACCATATATGTATAATATATAGTATATATATTACATATAGTATATACATTATATCATATATGTATTATATATAGTGTATACATTACCAGTTTTATATATATATAAAATATATATTACCAGCTTTTAAATGTTAATTTTTAAATGTTTTATATGTGCATAAAACTATAATTTTTTACTTTAACAATTTTAAAACGTACAATTAAGTGGAATTACGTACATTCACAATGTTGTAGAACCATCACTGCTGTTTCCAAATGTTTTTCATGATCTCAAAGAGAAACCACACCCATTAAGCAATAACTCCACATCTCCCCTGCTTCTCAGCCTCTGGTAACCCCTAATCTACCCTTTGTTTATATGAATTTACCAACTCTAAATAGTTAATTTATGGGAAATCATAAAATATATTTCCCTTTGTATCTGTCTTCTTTCCCTTGGCCTAATGCTTTCAAGATTCATCCATATTGTAGCATGTGTCAGAATTTTACTCCTTTACATAGCTACTTCATTGTCTGTATAGACCATTGTGTATACAATATACAGACATTGTGTGTATATTTAATACTTCATTGTGTGTATAGACCACATTTTGTTTATTTCATCATCAGCTGATGGACATGTGGGTTGTTTCCACCTTTTAACTATTATAAATAATCTTGCAATAAACACTGGCCCACAAGTATCTGTCTGATTTCCTGCTTTCAATTATTTTGGGTGTATACCTAGGGGCAGAATTGCTGAGTCACATGGGAATTCTATATTTGACATTTTGAGCAACTGCCCAACAGTGTTTTGCAGCAGCCTCAGCATTTTGTATTCCCACAACAATGTAAAAGCCTTCCAGTTTCTTCACAGCCTTGCCAACACTTAATTTCTGTTTTGTTTTTCTTATTAAAAATTATTTTAGCCATCCCGGTAAATGTGAAGTGATACCTCATTGCGATTTTGATTTACATGTTCCTAATGACTAATGATGTTAAGCATCTTTTTTTGAACTTTTACTTTAAATTTTAAAATTTTATTACGTATACTTCAGGTACATAACATGATATTATGAGATACATACCTATAGGAAAATGGTTACTATAGTGAAACAAATTAATATAGCCATCATCTCACATAGTTACCATTCACTCCCTGTGGCAATAGCAGAT